ATGTACTGAGCCTCAAACTTAGAGCATAAAGGAAGTGATCATCCTTTATCTCGAGGAAATTGAAATCTGGCAAGGAAGGGCATAGATGTCCATGTATAGTTACAATGATATGCAATATGAGATGTGGGAGGAGATGAACTACCGAAGGAGATACAAGTTATAAGATGGAGATGGGAGACGGGAAGTGGGAGCTCTGAGATCTTGTAGTGATGCACACAGCAGGGGATGGGATCTCAGAGGAAGGGCTGCAGGTGCAGAAGAGACTAAACTAAATGGACTCCAGGGCAAACAAGGCTTGTAAGAATATTTCAGGCCAGGGGAGAAAAAATTAGAAGCACCACTCAAAAAGGAGGTAAGAATCCAGAACAATAGCTAGTGTGTGATGTGAGACAGTGACAAAAGACTGGTGAGAGGTGAAGCTGGTGGGGTGAACAGGTGCAGAATATGACAAGTCAGACAAGTGTTACTTGGTACATTTGGGAGTTCACTCCTTACCTTTGCTGCTGCTGTTCTATTGCATTTTAAAGCTTGCAAAGCTACGCAGAAGATGGTTCAATATGTACACGGTTGACACAGCCCTCTGAAGATTAAACAGAAGACAGAGCAGGATCACCAGACCTCCAATAGGATAGCTCCGATTTTTTTCATTATTGACTTCTTCTCTCTTGGGAGTGTTTGTTCTCTAGCCTTAACACTATTTGTGCTTTCTAAATAGAAAGAGTAAAATTTCTTTCAGGCCCTCCAGGCCCCAGTAACCATTCTTTGCCTGGTGGAGGCTGTATCACACTGGTTGTGAATATACTCACTAATAAATTGGAAGCTGATGTAGGTACAGGCATGTATTTTGACCAACTTTGTCATCCCCTCATTGCCTTTCAAAACGCAACTGCAGAAGATCCCCATCTACAGAAGGTATGATTTTTGGTTTCTCATCTTTTGAAAGATGTGAAAGTGACAGCATTCAGTAGAAATCATACTTTACCATTTTCAATTTGGATGCCTTTCTGCATTTGGGATGGTTGGCACTATGCTGCCTTGCAGTGCGGGTGGTGGTAGCAGGTGTGGGTCTCAGTGAATCCTTCATAGGGGAGGGTCATTGATGTTCCACAGTGTGATGTCTTACTAAGCTATGATGTGCAGTAGGTTAGGTGTATTAATTGCATTTTCTGCTTAAGACAGTTTCATCCTCCAATGAGTTTTAAACTTGTACCTGTGATCACACCTTCATCATAAGTCAGCAGACCTTATATTACTAGTGAGTACATTTTACCACTCAGGGAGTGTCTGCTGAACACTTGCCAAGCAATATTTTAGCAACTGAGAGCGTAAGAGTGATCAAACAGACAAAATCTCATCCCTCAGTGAGCTTATAGTCTGTGTTTTATTTTTTACAGTGCTAGGAATCCAGCTGAGGGTCCACTTGTGCTGGGCAAGTGCTCTACTCTGGAACCTTGCTCTCAGCCTTGTCCATAGGTAAAATCATTTTACGCTTAGGTCAAAACTGAGTCATGGCTCCCATTAAAACTGCTCCAGAAAGAGATCATCTTGAGACTGCTTACTAAAACAGGACTTGGCCCAGTTTCAAGTCTGGAAATGTGCTGACAGAGGTTAAACCTGTCTGATGCTGATGCAGCAGAAAACTCAAAGAAGCAAAAACAGCACTTTGTTAAACTCAGCATAATTCCCATCCCCAGCACCTGTGCCACCAGGACCAACTGCGAGGTCTCCCTCACTCAGAACTTTGCAGATACCCTCGAGTCTCACCCTACACCAATGGCGGCTCTGGCCATTGCCCTGTTATTGTCCTGACTGAAAAAACTGGCCCTTGACACATGTAATTCCTTAGAGCTCAGTGGCTTTTCTCCTTCTCTGCCACATCTAGATAAGGGAATCCAGCAAGGGTAGAGCCCTGCAGCCATTTCTACCTGAGACCCTCACCCCTCCTGGGGACCTGACTGGACACTGGTTTCCAGAATTCTCAGCCATCCCACAACCCTTGTTTACACCTCAGCTGAAAGCATCTCCTCTTCCCTTGCCTCTCTTTCTATTTAACCCAGTGATTTGTGCCTTTTATAAATGATGGGAATCCTCCTGCTCACAGGCTGTCTCTGCTCCTTCATATTTGCAGTGTCTTGTGCAGCCTGGGAACCTGTTTGAGTGATGATGCGAGGGGCAGGGACCAATAGGAGACAGAAAATGGGGAGAGAAAATTGATACTACAGTCCATTGCCTTGCTTCTGTGCCATCTCTATGTATTTGATACTTATTAGGAAAGTGTCTGTGCAAAGCAACCAGCCAGTCAATGTGGACCATGAAAAATAGGACCAATTGCTGTCATCCTTGCAGGAGTGCAGGGAGAGATCCTAGAGAGCCTGCTCACGTTGGCCATGGCCCTGCTGTGTCTTCTCTGAAAGATCTGAGGGGCCACCTTAATGCAGACTGGAGAATATAATGGGATTTGCTCACATATTTACAAGCTGCTTGTCTGGGCATGTACCCCCAGCTCAGGGTTCGAGTGGGCACTAGGGATTCCAGGGTCAACAAGACAACCTGTCCTTACTGGTAGGATGAACCTGGCCTCCCATCTTTCTCAAGGTGTTATAGACTTCATCCTATGGGCTGTGCTCTCTGCTGAGACCAGTTATCTGGTCAACCAAATAGTACAATTTTTACAGTCACAATGAAAGTGAAATTTCACTATTCAAAGAAGTAAAAGTTAATGATTGTGAATCTCCAAAATGTTTACATATTATTGGAAAGAAGCTATACTTTGGAATTGATCTGAAAGCACTGTCTTAATATTTCATAACTACTGTTTTTTTAAAGTTTTTTTTGGGAGGAGGTACATGTTTGCATTTCATAATGACTGCATCCCTCGTGAAGAGTTAAAACAAGTACATCTTGCATCTCAATTGTGTTTTCATCATCGTCGTCTTTCCCCTGCCCTCTGCCTCCATCTCTTAGTCTCTTTCCCCTTAGCAAAAGGTCGGTCTCCCTGGTTCCTATTAACTAGCTCTTGCTTTTCTCTTTATTTATATTTTGGATTTCTCATATAGGCGAAACCATGCAATGTAACTGCTGTTTTAAGTAAAACTGATCTCAAGGCATTTAGTTGTATCTTTAACACAGGCTCATTGCCCCAAAGCTGTGAAAGGATACTTCCTAAATGTGGGAACATACTTAGTTGGCTACTCCAGTCTGGTGTGGTTTGTTTGTTTGTTTTGGCAAAGAGACACACAAAGCAAAAAAATCCCCAATATTTGATAGACATGTCCTATCAAGTACTTTTGGACAGACCTAAAAGTGGGGAAAGAGGCTGGAAAATTAAGGAGAATGATGCACAAGATTAGAGAGAACTTGTAAGTTGAAGGAATGATCTGACTTGGCACATTGGTGCTGAGTTTCAAGCCACAAGAGGAGCAGAAGCAAAGCACTTAGTTGTTGGATTAGGTTGGTGTTTTTCAAACTCTGGTCTTTTCTGTACTTCCTTTGCTATCTTTGCTAGAAAAAGGAAAGAAAAAAGATCTTAAAGATCTACTGCTCTGACTCCTTCATTTTAAGTTTTATCTTTTTTTCCCCAGCTCTGTGAGTTCTGACTCAGATCTCCAATTTACAGAACTGTACGATAAAAAAATATATATATTCTTTTAGACTATTATGTTTATGGTAATTTGTTGCCAAAACAGTTTAATAAACCCTAATTCCTATGATATATTCTTCCCAGAAAACAGACTGAATCTAAATAAGAAACAACGTGCCCAGAGAAACACGAGTTATGGCCATATTCAGCAAAATGTAACTTCTGGGAAACTTTGCTAGAGATATCACATTTTATTTGCCCAACAGACTATGTGTGCATGTAGATGTATCTAATAAAAAAACTTTGAGAGAGTTTGGGAAATCACCTAACATTTTACATTCCACCAAGTTGTATTGGGAAATTTCATTCAAATAAGCAAGTTATATAGAGAAAAAAATGTTAGTGTAGTGTGAACACTGACAATGAGTGTTTGATACTAACAAAAGAACCACTGTTACTATTTGACACTGGGTGTTTGATAGCAATGAATTTTTTTGAGGGGGATAACATACACAATGTTGTTGTCAGTTTTAATCAAAAGACCAAAGAGAGGAAGAGTCTTTGGGTGAGGTAATAGATGATAACAGCTGCTGAAGGTAGTGACAAGTCCATCTTTCAGTTCTGTGTGTTTCTCTTTTAAGGGCCTTTGTAATTCTATGAAGCATATCTGGATCACTTGGCATCATATGCATATTCTAAGATCACCTGATTAGCGATCGTAATTCTGTCTGCAGACTGAGTTCGTTTTAGCAGGAGACCATAACGTATTCTGAGGTTCTGAGATTGCCATATGGACCCCTTTGGGGTGGGGGCATCTTTCTATTTACCAACGGGCTCTTCTACCAAACACAAAGCATTTCTGTCATAATGTCATCAGCTCCACAAAACTGCTCCATGCCTGTTGTTTTGTATATTTTAATATGAACATAATATAGTGTTCATAATCAAAATGATGGTCAATAATTTGACATTTTATATGTTTTGCGATGCAGACAAGCCATGTTCAAAGGGCAGATTTGATCAAGGAGCTACTAGTATGAAATCTCTGCCTAAAATTCTGAAAACACTAACTTTCCCTTTAACCTGGAGACTCATCCTGTTCTTTCTTCCTACTGCCCTTTGACCTCCTTTCCCTCTGCACAGTCTAGCTATAAAGGCCACCTTCTTCTTTGCAAGTCATGACTTGGGGGCATTACAAATCACTTGAAATAGAATTTTCTCAGAATAAATGAGCAAAAGAAATAATATGCATAATCATATTGAACAATGCCTCCTCATATTTTATGTGTTCATTTTGCTCCTGCAAATATTAAAAAAAGGAAAAGAAAAAGCAATAACTTTGTTTCAATTTTTGACTGCCTGAGGTATTTTGAAATTTGGGCTAAGCACATTTTCCCTGTTATCTCTGTCTCTGTTTCAGGATGGAATGGGAAACCTGAGAATCACAGAAAAAGGTCTAAAGCTAGAAGGAGACTCAGAATTCTTACAACCTCTCTACGCCAAAGAAATTCAGTCCAGACCAGTAAGTTAATGCTGACAGCCGAAAAAATAATACTGTTCCTCCGAAATGTAAATTTGGGGAATTTATCTTGCCATTGATTGGTATTCAAGGTTGGGAGGGGTATTGGTAATGCGATAAAGTCATATACAGTTCTGAAGGCTTGAGTTGTAATCATAGCCATGGCGCCGTAAGCAAGTGTTTGACCTCTCTGAGTCTCTGCCTTTTCCTGATAAATAGAGGGTAACAATTCAAGCTCACCATCTGCATAGATGGTACTGCAAACCACGCCAAAAAACAGTGAATCAGGAAAATTCTTAATCTCTGTACAAATGCTAAATAGTATTGTCCTTACTTTTAGTTGTCAAGTGTTTCAAAGACATCTTTGGGAACACAAAACTGAAGAACTACCATGTCATGGTTTATGTCAGTGGCCCTCAAGCCTCATGAATTATGGACCAAACCTAGCATTTGTGATTGGTTTGTTGTCTAGCGCTTGGATTGGTGGTGTAAGTGTTACACCTGCCCAGGGGTGGAGCCAGGATATGATGTAAAGGCAGGAAGAAGGTGTGTTTCACTCTCTTGCCACTTTCTGCTTTGCTGTTTGCCATGAGAGGCTGCCCCACCTCACCACACTGTCTCTGAGCCAACTGAGCCAACTGAGTATGGACTGAAACCTCCAAAAACCGTAATAAGTAAACCTTTCCTTCTCTAACTTTGGGAATCAGGTATTTTGTCTCAGCAATGAGTAAAAAGTAGCCAAGACAGAATTTGGTATTGGGAGTGGGTCCATTGCTGTAAATATACCTGATCATGTGGTTCAAGAGCCTTTGGAAATGGCTTGTGGGCAGAGTTTGAAAAGGTGCAGAGATGTTGCCTGTCTGCATAGAGCTGGAACAGCTTAGGCTGTTTTGTATGGAAGATTCTGGTCAGAGCTTAGGAGACCAGAAAGCTGATAGAAAGCCTACCAGTAAAGACCAGGCTTGGGAGGTTTCTGCTGGGAAGAAGGACCACATAGGTTGTTGATCTTCCCATGATGTGTGTTATGGCTTGACAGAAAGTTTGTCTGCATTTTGATCATGTCCAGAGACTTTGCCTGAGACTGAGATTAATGGAGTGATGACTGATTAATCTGGCAAAAGAAATTTCAAGGGAGTTGAATGTTGAGGCTGTGGAATGGCTATTGTTGGGGCTTTTTGTCAGATTTGTGTTGGAAATCAAGAGCAAAAACCCCAGCAGAAGAGTTTAAAATGCTGGGAGTTTGGCCAGAAGAAAAACTCCAGTGAAGCTGTGGATTGTAAAGATAAAGCTGAGACTTCAATTGCTGAGAAGGAACAGAGAAATGAGAAAGATGGCCAGGGACACCCCAGGAAGAAGTAGGTCTCCGTCCTTCGCAGCCTGCGAAAGTGAAAGAATTTGCTCGGAGGAGAAAGCTGCAGAGCACCATGCTCCAGAATAGTGATGGAGGCCACATGAGGTTCCAAAATTGCAGCAGCCACACCATGTTCCAGAATGGCAGTGACGTAGGGAAGTTTTTCCTCACAATCAGGTTCATAGCACCCACCGATCCAGGCACTTAACCCTACAGCCAAGAGAGAGAAAAGCCTGGCTGCTGCTCCAGCTGGCAACAAACCTTGGTGCCATCCACATGGCACTGATTTTAGGTGCAAGGAAAATGCACAAATTCTGAGGGTAAGACAGTTTCCACCTCGATTGCAAAAAGGCCTGGGAGGTCAAGCAGGGTGCCCCTGAGATGGCAATTTGTAAAGATGTAATCGTGAAGCCAAAGGTGCAGTGGGAACCCCAGAAGTTTGAAAAAGCCAGAAGTTTGGATCACCCAAGGAAAACAGCAGAAGTCGAGCAGAGGGTGCGGTGAAATCCCTGGAATTGCCGTGGGGGTGGCATCACACAAGCCTTTGGAGCTTGAAACCAGATTGATTCAGATATTGGGCATGAAACTCTAGGACTTCATATTTACCCTTGCTGGGTGTTGGACTTGCTATGTTTCCAATGCTTTGTATTCCCGTTTGTAACTTTTGCAGTGTTAATGTTTATCTTGTGCCTTTCCAATTTGGAAATGTTTAACTTTGTTTCATTTGTACAGGGGATTACAGTTAAGAGTTTGCCATAGATCTTGAGGAGACTTGGGATTTAGACTTTTCAGGGATGCTGAAATGGTTAGGACTGTGGCAACTCTTAGGCATGGAATAAAAGTCTTTGTATAAAGGATGTGAATGAGTCTTTGGGGACCAGGCATGGAATGTTACAGTTTATGTCAGTGGCCCTCAAGCCTCCTGAATTATGGACCAAATCTAGCATTTGTGATTGGTTTGTTGTCTAGTGCTTGGATTGGTGGTATAAGTGTTTCACCTGCCCAGGGGTGGAGCCAGGATATGATTTAAGGGTGGGAAAAAGGTGCGTCTCACTCTCTTGCTGCTTCCTGATTTACTGTTTACCATGAGAGGCTGCCCCACCTCAACACACTGCCCCTGAGCCAACTGAGTATGGACTGAAACCGCCAAGAACTGTAAGAAATAAACCTTTCCTTCTCTAACTTTGGGCATCAGGTATTTTGTTTCAGCGACGAGTAAAAAGTAGCCAAGACAATGAACAATTTGTACTATGTGGCCATTGTTGGCTCAAATCAATTCATTATTAACACCTGTGATTTTAAATGGTACTTAACTACTTCAGAATGCATGCACCTGTTTAAGGTATATTCTGCTTTCCATGTGTTATCTGATTTAAATCACAAGTTGGTGCCCTCATATGGGAACTACTGTTGCCTTCATTTTATAGAAAACTAAGGGTTAGAGAGTAAATCCAAAGCCACCTATAATGAATTAGTAGGGTAAAGGTTTCAATTCAGTAAACACAATTCTGAAGCATTTTTGTTAACCATAATTTCTAAATAAGTTCTCTTATCATTTTTTTCTTTTATATTATGTTAGAAATAATTCCTGTGTACCTTGCTTTTATTAGCTAGTATTATCAAAATTAATTTTTGGAGTGGAGTTTTTTTTTTGGTGGTGGTGATACTTGGTTTTATTAAAAGTTTTTGTGTGTGTTGGTAGAATTTGCTGGTTGATAAATATTATTAATTATTTCTTTGTCCGGTATTAATCTTTATCCACCTGCAAGCAAAGAATAACATGGAAGTGTCCCAAGCCATCATTTACATCACGTGTATTGATTAGTGTAATCAATAAAATTTAGCAACTTTGTGCAGGTGGCTAATTTTATCTGGATGCCATCTAAAGTCTTCAGTTATATTTAACTGAATGTGACTACTGATCTGTCGAGAAGCCTACTTCCTTGTCTGTCTCTTAAAATGGAACTAGAATGTTCAAATCATCAAAAATAGCAAATCAATTTAGTCACAGAATGATTATTTATAAAATTTCACTGGAATCCATGGTACATTTGGATTGGACCCTTAGAGGACTAAGTATTGTATATGCTCATTCTCACTGAAGAAACTTCACCCCAGAATGTGCAATGAGAAACCTATTGTCTTAGTTACTTTTTACTCCTCGCTGAGACAAAATACCTGATGCCCAAGTTGGGAAAGGAAAGGTTTATTTCTTACAGTTCTTGGAGGTTTCAGTCCACACTCAGTTGGCTCCAAGACAGGCAGGCATGGCTGGGCTGCAGTTCCTGGTGGCCACCAACAGCAAACTCGAACCAGCAAAGAGAAAAACACACCTTCTTCCTGCCATTACATTACATCCTGGCTCCACCCCTATGTGGGTGGAGCACTGACACCATCAATCCAAGCACTATACAATGAACCATCACAAATGAACAATGCAAACTCATGAGTCCTGGGGGACACAAACACAAACCATGACACCTATATAATGACTATGATCAGAGATTAATTCTACTTTGGACTGAATACAGAAAACGTCAAGAATTTAAAGCATTACATGTTACATGCGTTGCCATTGATTCTTGGTTCTCCCACCCTGGTAAATTGATGAGTGAACTCATCAGCTTATGTCACTCCTTGTATTTTAGATTGATTACCTGATCTATGGTAAACTCATTTAATTTACTGGATCAGATTGATAATTTCCCTCTAAGAGTGTTGGCAGACTTTATCTATAAAAGAACTGGAAAGTATTACCTCCTCCTATTCTTGTCACTTTTCCCTCCCTTTTTATAAATGATGTGAAAACCACTTAGATCAGGGCCATGGAAAGTAGGCTGCGTGCTAGAGTTCACCAAGCACTTGAATCTGTATTAATATTTATATAAATAATATACATGTCTGATTTGACTGGATGTGGTGTAGGGAGTAGATTTTAATATCATTGCATAGAATAATTGGTAGGTGTTAAGTAAAACAGCTGTGATAAGTTTTCTTGGTGTATAATTAGGGTCATGTAAAAGAATTCAGAAATGTGTTTTGAGACTTGGAACATTTTGCCCGCATGTCCCTTACGTCCCTGAGCAGGAACAGAACTTAGCAAACATGTCAGGCAGCTTGTCGGTAAATTGACAGGCTGCTGATCCCAAGTTACAGATTAAAAGCTTCAAAATTAATGATAATTTCAAAGCTTTTGATTTTATTTTGAAAAATCAGTTACATACAAGTCACTATTTAATGAAAATAAAAAATATTAGAATAAAAATATTAGAATTCACTTTTTTCTGCTGTGTGAAGTGAAATATCTTTCCTTTCAAAAAACAAATAATAAACAAAGCTCTATAGACATGATTCTGATAAAATATATAACTTGTAACTAAAAAAGGACAATATACGCACAGTATAAAATTCATCAGTAAATCCCAGGAGCTCTACCTAAAACCTGCCCAGCAGTTTATCCGCCCACAGCAGCCTCCTTCCCACAGCACATTCTTACCAGCCCTGGCCCACCAGGCTCCACACTTTCCTTTGCTTTTTGCTATTATCTTCCTGATGTACACTGTGGCCAAAGTGGCCTTCAGAAGGCCAGGTTCATCTGTCAATTAGGAAGGGATTCTCTGTTGACTTCTCATAGTATCTGGAATAAACTCCA